TTCAACACAGGACAGTATGGATTTACAAATAATAGGACTGAATAGCAACATGATAAAAAATTCCACAGATTATGTTCTAGTCTGGTTATTCTTCAACTAAAATCCACAAACATTTTGCATTTGAAAGAAAGCCAGAATCACATCAACAAGGTTCAACATCAAAATATGTGGCAGTGGCTGAAAAGTGATGTCTGTCCACTGTTCTCATCTGTGGAATCGTCCTCCCACATAAAGCTGATATATGTCCTGATGATTTCTGTCCTTAAATGGTAAAAAAAAAAAAAAAGAAATTCTATAGAACTTGAGAAATGACTAAAACAAAGTTGCTACTGAAAATAGTGACTTCAGATAATCAGTGTACAAACCAATTAATGACATTAGAAATAAAAATTGTGTTTTGTTTTCAAATTTTCCATTTATCGTGAGGTGAAGGATAAAAAAAAAAAAAAAAAAGCTTTGCAATTCCTTAAAATGAGCAGCTGTGTAATTACCAGGCTTTCCCTGCTTCAGCTTTTCCAGGTAATCTTTCGTCTTCTGAACCAAAGATTGAGGCATCTTATCCAAGGTGATGACGCTGTTGTCCTTCAAAGTCAGCATGATCCGATTCAGATTCTGATTGATGGTCTTCACGTTCTGGTTCAGCTGAAGGCAAGAAAATATTACAAGGTCAATCACATTAATTTTGTGATTGTACTTTTCTTTGTTTACTTTACACCTTCAAACAGTGGATTCAAAAAGTACTGAGATCCCTTGAGTTTTTGCACACTTGCAGAGTGGCTGTTGCTAGAATGCCCATAGAAACACGTCAAACCACTACTAGAGAAGCACAATCAACTTCCCCATTGTCTATTCACTGACTCAGGATGACATTGAAGCTCATGTTTTCTGCTTATATTTCAGCAATAATCAGCTTTGTTTCAACCCTTAAACAGAGCCCCTGAGCCTAAAAGCACATCTCCACAAGTTTAATTACATAAGGCTTTCTACTAAAGTTTGATGATCACACTTGAAGAAGTTTTCCGTTTCATTTACAGGACTTGCATCTTCATAGTGGATGAGTGAGAACAATACTCCTGAATCATGCAAAGCAGGAGGTGAGCCTAGTATTTTGTTTTTTACCACTTGTCGCTATGTGCGCTAATGGCGTAATAATGTGCATGAGAAAGATGACATTGATGCATCCGTCTCTTTTTTGTTTGTATGTCATGCAATTACAAATACAAGCACCCGGCCATGTGTGCAAGTGACAGAAAACACGTTTTTAGGAGTAGATTTAAAATTTCTGGTTATATTAAGCCATTGCTGGCAAAAGACAGGAAAAAAATGAAGACTGCTTTATAACAACATTAGAGTTACATGATATCTTGGACAACAGAATGTATGCATGTGTTTGATTCCTAACACACATTCTGTTGATAGCGTAAACAATATTTACAATTTGTTTGGCCCAACTGATGGAATCAGGATGACTGACTTGATTTCTGACAGCCAGGAGATTAAAAACAGTGGGCTGTGCTAAATTATTCGCATCCTATCACTACTAGACTTTCTCACCAGTATATAAAATATGGTTAATTTTTATGACTGAAACCACAAATCATTTGTGGGAAAGACACAGAAAAACACTTGACAGAGGGCCGAGCAAACCTTGCGGTGTGCCATGAATGAATTTATTTTCTAATCCAATTCATTCATGATTTCAGTGCAAAGCCAGAGCTCATTCATCACACACTGTGACTAATCTGACTCACTGGCTGTAGACTGTGGGTGTGAGCCTGTGGGTGCATATTTCACCTGGCATTCTCCTGCCATTCCAGTATCTGCGTGTTACCGTTTTCAAAATTCCCTTTTCTACAGGGAGCAAACTACATGCTGCAAATGGCAAGCCTTGATGAAGATTTGGATCGTGCAATAAAGCACGTCTGGCTCGGTTCTTTTGGTGTATGACCGTAAAGCTCTACAAATAATACGTTTTTAAATGTACTGTTTAATAGGGACATTCTTGCATGTTGTCCTGGTTGTTACGGAAAAACTTTCATTTTTCAGGTACGTCCCACAAAGACAACCTGACGACACCGGACACTATTTTGCTGGCCACTTTGGCAGCATCCTGGGACTTAGCATCACCCAAGATGAATGTTATTAGTTTAAAGAAATGCAAAACAAAGAGTGTTTTTTCTTCATAGCAGAATGAAAATGGAGCACACCGTTCTTCACCCACCGCTGAGACAGTGTGGAGGAGAAAGGTCAGACTGTGCAAGACTACAATGTGACATGCCTCAAAATTTAATTGTACCATTTCACTGAATGGCATGCAACAAATTTGCAAGATTGCTGTTATCACACTGTCCTAGTGCCTTTTGTCAACCTCCTTCTGCAGAAACTCCAGTATGTGTTGCAGTCATTTGGTTATCCACCAGTATGACTCTTTTCAACCATTAACATGCCTTTTCTTTTGCATGAAAGCTATTTTGATGTATGTCATTATTGTGGTTTTCTGTTTTAGTACAGTTGCGTGCTAAGTTTCTCACAGGATTCTGAGAGTTGCCTAGCAAGACAGCTCGCCTCAAACCACCACACATTTAGTGTGCAGTCCTGTGTTTGTAACTCAGTTTTTCCATTAGTACTCCTCTCTGACAGTGAAACAACGAAAAATGTGAACATTCTGAATTTTTTTTAAACTCACTGTTATTAATGACATTTCAGTCCATAAACCGTCATCTGATAACATTCTTAGACACAAAGTGTCTAATCTTTTTGCACACTCCTAACTTGAATTTCATTTTACATGTGGCATCTCTTATCCATACACAACAATGTCACTGAGCTACCATGCAAGGTGCTGACCTGACCATCAGAGGAAACTGATGTCAAATGTCACACCCAAGGACAATTCCATATGTGACTGAGTCACATATGATTAATAAGCAAACACGTCTAACTCTGGAGCCAGCTGATCCACATTAAACTGTAGTAAATCAGGAAGTATCTCTTTGTCACCCCTATTGCAAATTTACAAGTAAAAAATGGCTAAAAATACCTGGAAAGTTTTGGAAGCTCCACCACAGTTGAATCTCAGACAGAGGTTGACTTTGTTGTCCTTTTCCAAAATCTCAAACGTTCCCTCCTTCCATCTGGTGGTGCCCAGGTCCAGGCTGTTTAAGCGGATCTTAACAGCGCCACCACTGGAGAGTTTGGGCACTACGGTTGCCATGGCTTGCTATCCTGTTGGTGGACTCGGGAAGCTGGGACTTGTGATCGAACAAATCCTAAACATGACAAATTACATTACCTATCAGTGTCACGATAGCAATGTCCAGTAGAGTGGAACACATAGTATGCATTAACCATATCAAATGCCATGTTGTTACAAGATCAGGTATGCATTGTGACACCTGTCACTTCAAAACTTGTAATATTAATGGAGGCTAATGAATTCAGTGATAAAGCTCAGTGAAAAGGATGCAGTCATTAGCTAGAAAATCCTTCAGTTTATCAAAAAAACACAGCATGCTAGTAACTTGCCAATGTCATGCCAAAAAGTGATCATTTGCCAAAAACTGATTGCATTCTTTGTTAAAGCTGTACTACTCAGCCTATGTATACGCATGTACAGCTGCTTTTTACCTGGATCAAAGAGTCATAATGTGCAAATATACACAACTTTACATCTCTGGGAAAAGCAAAAGTATTTTTGTGAAACTTTTTCTTTTTAACCAAATAATGGCTACATGTGTTTGATGTGTCAAATAGCAATGTTTAAACTGTATTTCACACAATTACAAATGGATTTGATGGTAATATACAGAAATTATCTGTTTTGCAATTATGGGTTACATAATCTTTAACATACAACCCTTGAGAATGAAATCAAACAATTTTGATGCAGTTTCTGTAACTACCTAGAGGCTGCAGTTATTTTTTGTCAAGTCTAAAACTGCATTATATGAGTTGAACTGCTCCTTTAAAGCTATGTCAGCCGGTGAAAACGAATAAATTGGTTACAATCTGAAGCGCAGGACAGCTAGCTGAAGAATAATTAAAGGATAATCACTTTTTGACACATAACCTGTAACTAGGCTACCGCACACAATTTCAAAATTTACATTTCTCAGCTCATAAATCCTAATAGCGCAATTAGGGAGCCCGCGTTCACAAAAGCTTAACAACGTGCCAAAAGTCACAACAAACTTCAGGTCAACCAAAACCAACCAAACATTGGTTAGCACCACAGCTAACCACAGGTTAACGGTTCATTATAACACATATAAGGACCTTGCGAAACAATGTTGACCAATAAGGGTGGTTGTTTTACAAGGCGGAGAAACTCACGCCGCACGTATTAGGTGGCTAGCGGTTCATTAACAGCCATTGTAGCCTGTGTTTGTATTAGCCATCAAACTAGCCCAATGGCCAATCTGTATCGCGGCAGCAAAGATGAGCGAAGGTGCACAACACATAGCAACCAGCGTTTTGTCGCTTCCAGCAAGAGGAACGTCATTCCGGCAACACAAACAGTCACAAAAAAATGAAAAACCAAAGTTAGTGGAAGAGCTAGCCATGATAACTACAGGCAAGCCGAATGACTGGGATGCAGGTAATGTCGTCTCCTCATCAACAGACGCTGAATGGATGGAGGAGGCCGACATTAGCAAGTCAGCTAGCAGGCTAGCGGGAGCTAGCTAACTGGCTAATTTGCCTGATTGTAATTTGGTGATGAAAACAGTGTCACACTTGGACTACGCTGGGCAGCTCTTTACCTGTCGATGATATTGGCTCGTCCACAAACTTCTAAAATACAGTATCGTTTTTGTCGGTCCTCCGAGGGCAGAAAGTTTGTTTTGCCGGCATTCACCTGCTCTCTGGTGTGTACGTTGTTGACAGTGGACCCGCACACGACGCCTCGCAACGCTGCGCGATGATGGCGGGAATGTGAAAATTTACAACGGAAATGATACCCGAGAGTTAGGCCCATCCTCCTCTCGCGATATTTTATTAATTTGTGCTGCCTCGTTAGCTCAACAACAACGAGCTACAACATTGTGTTGTTTCATGAATAGCGTTAAGTTTTGAGGTCTGAAAGTATTAGCGTTTTGTTATTCTGTAATCTCAACGACGTATTGTGTATGTTGCTGGAAGTTATGTTGGTGTACACGCTTTCTGGTTTACATTTGTCGATACATTTAGCAGCTAGGTCGGGCTAGCTGTCCGCACTTAGCGGTGGTTACTCTAAGGTAGGAGTATTACAACCAAATTAGTTTTGCTATTTCAGCACACTTTACTTGATCCAGTTAGTTTTTATCAACACGTCGATACCACCAAGAGCTTCAGAGAATGCTGGCGACGGGAGCGGTGAGTACTTAACATGAACGGACTGCACGGTGCCGTTGCCAATCGTCTTTACATGAAATTTCCTCCCTTGTTACCTCGCAAGTAGCTACACACATTTAACACTGCCTGATAGGACCAAACTCGAAAAACTGAAAACTATTTTTATGACAACACTAGACACATCAATTTGTTTATTTCCCTCCTAAATCAACCCGAACGTGTTTGGTTTCATTTGAAATTTCCGGATCTCCACCGGAGCCCTAAGAATAGTGGCCAAGTTTGGATGCACAGTTTGTACTCGCAGGGGCATTAGTTGGGTAATAAATGTATAGTTTGGCTGTTACACAACAAGTTCAACAGCGAAATCTCAGCAAACCTGCCGGATCATTTTAAATTTATAACTTGTTTGCTTCAAAAAAACATCTGATTTGATATTTTTGTAATACTTTGATATCAATTACTGTATGTGAGGCCAGACTGTGGTTGTGTCTAGTAGTGATTTCATAAAATGTTATGTTACAAAAAAATTGCAAGTAGTCTTTTTGCATACCATTATATTCAGTACATATCCAATATGCGTTGGGATGGCATTGATGAGTATATTGTTTTTTTTTTTCTTTGTTGTGTAACGTGTCTGAGTTTCTTAACAAGCGCTACATAAAGCCAATGCGTTATTATTTATTATTTTTTCTTTACCCTGTCAGGCTGTAACTAACGTCACAGCCCTGGCCCAGGTAGACAGAGAGAAGATCTACCAATGGATCAATGAGTTATCCAGCCCAGAGACCAGAGAAAATGCCTTGTTGGAGCTAAGCAAGAAACGTGAATCCGTGCCAGACCTGGCACCGATGCTCTGGCATTCCTGTGGCACTATTGCTGCCCTGTTGCAGGTATGACATGAATGGCACACCGCCACCTTTAGCACATAGCATGGCTTCAGTGCTGTTTGTCTGTGTGGCCTTGATGAGCTGACTGGTTAGTTAGTTATCAAGTTTAACTGATGTCTTTCATCTCCTGGTTTTTGTCTGTTTAGGAGATTGTGAACATCTATCCATCTATAAACCCACCTACGCTTACAGCTCACCAGTCCAACAGAGTGTGCAATGCCCTTGCACTTCTGCAGTGTGTTGCCTCACACCCAGAGACACGGTAATGGGATGTTCACTATGAATGAAAATTGTAGAGGTTTTTAGTGACTGACTTGTTTCCTTTACTGTGAGTGATGATAGATCATATTTAGAAACTTTAACTCCGGGATTTAAACGTTAATTCATTCATTCATTCATTCATTCATTCATTTATTTATTTTAATCATGAAGTTATGATGATTATGTTCGTTCTTGTGTTATATTTACTATGTTGTGTAAATGTGAGCACATTCATTAATTTAAATTCTTTTTTTTATTCTTCACTTCTTACCAGGTCGGCTTTTCTTGCAGCTCACATCCCTCTTTTCCTTTACCCTTTTTTACACACTGTGAGCAAAACGAGACCATTTGAGTACCTGCGACTTACCAGCCTCGGAGTCATAGGTAAACTTTCCTCCTGTTAATACGTCTTATTTACTGCTCTAGTCATTATTTCTGCAGAGTGACTTCCTCGTTCAACGTTTATATACAGGTATTGAGCTCTCTCTCGTATTTACTGTAGGTGCCTTGGTCAAAACAGATGAACAAGAAGTGATTAACTTCCTTCTCACCACTGAAATTATCCCGCTGTGTCTCCGCATCATGGAATCGGGGAGTGAACTCTCCAAGACGGTACTTAACTATTGCGGCTTCTTTTTAAACTTTTAAACTCACCCTTGGTGTAAAAGACTCACTGAGGCTATACAAGCGGAAAATACACCTGCAAGAAAAGAATTAAATCTCTCTGACATTTCCTTTCAACAGATCAGATCACACATCAGTTATTTTTCCCAACATGCTGATTTGAGATTCATGAGCATAATTGGTTGCATAATGCAGGTTAAACTGAATGTTTTTCTTTACTCTTGTTTGGAAAATAATAAATGTTATGTATGTCTTCCCATTCTCCCTTTCATTTTTTTTGTCAGGTTGCTACTTTCATACTGCAGAAGATACTGCTGGATGACACAGGACTGGCATATATATGTCAGACTTATGAACGTTTCTCCCATGTGGCCATGATTCTCGTAAGTGCTTGTTAAAAAATGATCTAAAGCTTCTCTGTGTTATGTGACACTTCACCCTGATGCAACAACATTTCTGTAATTCTTTTTGCAGGGCAAAATGGTGCTGCAGCTCTCCAAAGAACCATCAGCTCGTCTGCTGAAGCACGTTGTTCGCTGCTATCTTCGCCTCTCGGACAATCTCAGGTACAGTCTGAAGCTACGGTATTCTGTGTGTGGTAGGACTGCAACAACAAACAAATTACTACAACTAACAAATCTTTTTTTTTAAGTGTTGATTATGTTTTAGAATAATCAATAAGTTGTTTGATGTATAATATGTCAAAAATGGTGAAAACTGTTAATCTGCCAAAGCCCAAGATGACGTCCTTAAATGTCTTGATTTGTCCACAACAAAGATATTCTATTTACTTTCATAGAGGAGAAAAGAAACTCGAGAATATTCACATTTAAAAAGTCGCAGTCATTCTGAGAATTTTGACTTTTTTTGCCTTTAAAAACAATCATAAGCCAGCTAATCAGTTATAAAGTCAAAATAGTTGACAACTAATTGATCAGTCACTCTCTGCTCTATGAGGTGTTCACATGTTTTAACTGTTGATTGAGTGGTGATCTGTGTACTGTAGGCTCCACTCCCTCCTGAAAATGTTAGTGAAGAATTTGATCCTCAGCTTTTGCCACTAGGAGGAGCCATGACATAAATAGAGTGCAGTGACTGACAATGACTAATGACTTCTCAGCTTGTGGTGAGAACATAATGAAATGCTCACTAAGTGTAGCAATCAGAGAATCAATTTGTTGAATTTTAACTACCGCTAAATATTTGGTGGTTGCAGCCTTACATATGTTAAGTTTAGCTTTATTTTCTCCCTCTTTATGTTGCTCTAAATCAAAAGCTTTTACTCCCTTTTGGCTGCTTTTAAAACTAAGAAAGCAGCTTTGAAATATTGGTTTGGAACCCTGCTGACTTAAGATGAGCAAAGTCAGAGGAAATTACAACATTTAAAAGAAATTAGGACATTTCTGTGAAATCAAACATAAGGGAAAATGGCAGAGTTTGCATATTTAGTGATTGAATAGATAGTGTAAGCTGTCATTTAGCAGCTATAGTGTTTATGAAAGGAGATGTCAATATCTCTCTGTTGCAGCTCAGTGGGGGACATTGATTGAACAGTTGCATCATGCATTTGCTTTTGGTTCGTCAGAGCATCTAATTGTAGGGCCAGAAAAAAGAAATTCTCCCAGCTCTGCCTTCTCTTAACTGCTCCTCCAAAACATGCTGTGATTGAATCTGCCATGTGTGACTCAGAGCACAAGCATTTGCTAACCAGTTTCCTGCAGGAAATGTGTGTTTTATTGACGCTTACCAATGTAGTTTATCAGCCTGATAGGTAAGACATTAGATACATTAAAGCCAGTCTATAAATAATGCATATTGCAGAAGAGAGTTTATGCCTGAGGTGAAGCTTGAATAAGCCGGAGGTCCTCCCTAGATAACAGTCTTAATCGAAACAATAACCTCTTGTCTGTTAGAGTTGATCCTGTTTTGTATTTAATTGCAAAATGTCATTATGCTGCACTGCTTTATGACATGTGGCGTTCCTTCCTCAGAGCCAGAGAGGCCCTGCGTCAGTGTCTACCAGACCAGCTGAAGGACAGCACCTTTGCTCAGGTGCTGAAAGATGACACCACCACTAAGCGCTGGCTGGCACAGCTGGTCAAGAACCTGCAGGAGGGCCAAGTCACTGATGCCAGAGGCATTCCACTGGCTCCACAGTGACGGGCTGCGAATTCACCGCGGACACGAACGGACTCGCTGTCTAGAATTTGAATTTTTTTGCCAAATGTGGTGCTAAGACTGCAAAGTAAAGGACATAAAAGAGGAAGATATTTTTGCTTTCGGATTGCTCAATTTCCATTTTTGGACATGAGGCCCCTTTCACAACTGAAAAACCTTTTCTTAAGAGTCCACAGATGGTAGATCTTTAAAGCCGACAGATGTTTGAGAATAAGTTTGAATCCAATAATGATGTATTGGCTGATATTTGCTTTTGACATAAATGTTTTGACCAGACTCCTCAAAACTGGTTGATAAAGAGTTGTGATGACGATATTTAGTTCAGACATTTTTAGGTTAAACAATAGACCTTACTATCAAAACAATGACAGTATTTTTTCAACAGTACGCTTCACATCAAATTAAACAACTGTAAGTAGAGAAATATGCATTGAACTTGCAATAAGAAACAATGGCCAGATGTACATTAAAATGCAGCCTATGAAATTACTGTTGCCGTAGTCATGAAGCAATTTCTATCTGAATGTCAACACATAGGTCACTTCTGATATAAAATAGGCCAGCAATAGTTGTTAATATCAACCCTTTTAAAATATCAGCCGACACTTCTCTCTTCCCGTTTATCACTGTAAGTTTCAGTAACATTCCATGTCCAATAGGAACAGTTATTTCTTGCATTTTATGTTTCAAATAATACTTTGATCTTCTATATGACTGCTTGTGTCTCTTTTTTTCCCCCAAAAAAAGTCTGTTCACTGACACTACATGCAACAGTTTAGTAATACAGGGAATTTCTCAAGGTTTTTGTGTGTTTACCGTCATCATTTTGATGGCCCAATTGTACAAAAAAAAAATTTAAATAAAATCTCAGGAGCGGAGCTGGGCTTGTTTCAGAAATAAACCATTTTCCACTTGATTTAGGATTTTATTAGTTTCTTTGACATGTGTTAAGAGGAACAGCTTCCTGCTACATTCACCGGAAAAACACAGCTTCATGTATATATATAGCAACAGGGAACGTTATCCATTGTATCATTTTAAAGTTTTCTGCAAGTCCTGTTGTTTGGAAACAGGAAACATTGGAATTTGAAAAAAATTTTCACAGTGAAATGCACCAATGGTGTGCAGTATTAAATCAGTCATTGGCTAGTCATTGGCAACCATCCACTGAGCGTAGCTGCTTATGCTTTGTGGTAATCAAGTGGCTCGATGTAATCCCAGCATGCACTGCGACAGAATGGGGGACACCCTGGACAAGTTGGTGATCTTTGATGGGGTTGACAAGATCACTGTTCACTCTCATATACATATATGGGCGATTTGAATCGATTAAGCGATCATTGAATTTCCCTTCTGGGATGAATAAAGTATTTTTCATTTCATTTTCATTTAGGGTTATTCATGTACCGGATCTGCAAATCTTAGAGTGTAATCTGTGACCGACAAATGAGACGATGTTCTCCACCTCCATCATCAAAACACCAAATGAGGGAATATTTTTCGGAAGGATGGTTTTCATGCCTGCTGTAGAGAGACTTTCTAGAATCAATGCTGAGGTGGATTAAAGCTGTTCTCGTGATTCCCCACCAAGACACGTGATATGTTATGGAGCGTTGCTCACGTTATCAATTCGTTAAAGTGATGATTTTCTAGTAATTTAGTCATTTTCTGTCAATGTTCCTCGTGGCTTTTTGTAAACACGCCCTCCACAGTGCCAGACAGTACCACAGTACACACGTGATGTTTGTCATTCACAAGAGATTAGGAAATACACTAAATGATGTATAATTTATAATAAAGCGATAACAGACTATCACTAAACTAATAAGAGCTTATCAAACTGTCCAAATAACTAACAGCCCAGTTTATTTCTAATTTCTTAAAAAGTGAAACTGAAATTTCAGCACTCAACCTCAGGTGAAAAAATACTAAACTGCAGCTGATAAACTGTGTGACAGCTCACATCTCTGAGATAAGGAAAAATAGGTTGTGACTTGTCGTTAGATTCTGTCTCCATGTTGGGAAAGTTTATAACAAGCTAATAAAGATGCTACTGCTTTTGCCCCTTGCGTAAATGCACACAGCTCTCTCTCTCTCATGGATCCTGATGCTGCAGGTGTGTGATAAACTATGAATAAACAGAAACAGCTGGAAACTAAACTGCTGTTCTGTGTGTGACAGCTCACCTGTCTGATGTGAAGACATACACAGTCTTCACACAGTGTCTTCACACAACTCTCTCTTTGGAAATGCACTGCAGGTATGCTGCAGGTATGTAATTAACTCAGAGGGAATCGTTGTAAACAACCGGACGGAACAAACCTCCTCTCCTGTTTGGGTCTTGTGAGGGAAAAATATCTTGAATAACATCTATGATTGATGAGTGTCATTCTAAGCTGTTACTGTCTTCTTTGATTGCAGTAAAGTTGTATTTGTAGAGACAGGTCGTATGGTGGCTTCATAGATTTGAGATATTAGAGCAAAGTCAGGAAGGTTTTGTGATTTTGGCATGCAAGCTGTCATTTGCTGTCTTTGTGGTGTTTTTGGATAAATATTGGTGCTGAATTGTTGAAAAAATCCTTCCCTAAATGTATCTGTCCGATAATGTGATGTTTCACTTCAGATTTATGGCATGTTGACAGTGATAAGGAAATGTTACTGGGTCTGATCTAGTAAAGCCTGTTTCAGACAGAGTCCCATTCTGTTGATCTGACAGAATGTTGTGTATCTGCATCTTACTAAATAACGAATAACAACAAATAACTAAAAAACATCCAACCAAAGTTATGAAACCCTTTAGTTTGTTTAGTCCCATTGTGAGTCCATAAACCAAAGATATCGCGTTTAAAATGATATGAAACAAGACAACAACACAACCATGCCATGCAACCATTCATGTCTGTTGAAAGGAATTCTAAAAAGAGTGATGTTGGAGACAAATTAGTGAATTTTTCTTTCGGTTCATTCTTCATCAGTTAGTTGAAAAAGTGGCTCACCTGTGCTTGCTGAGTGCTCCATCTAACAGGCCCACAGACTTCACTAATGAGCCTTCATTTCCTCTTACCGGTACATTAACAGATTGTTGCCCCCATAGGTTCCATTATCGGCAGTGACTGAGATGGGCATCATGTATCATGGAAACACCTGCGCTCAAGCCGTCCATTTGTGAGCAAATCTGATCCCTTTGGGAGATGTTCCTGAGTATGCACTGGATGTTTTTGTCTGTTTACTGAGGAAAAGAGCTAATGTAGCTAAAGTCATTATAGGTCTGGGCCAGGGAGCCTTGAAAATGGAAGAGTAGGGTACATTAGCTAGATGGGGCTGAGGGAAGTGTTGCTTTCCATTTTTGTGTTGCTATTTGTGATTCACAGGTCCACTGGAGAAACATACTGTACATAGAGTGGACAGTGTAATAGAAACTGCAGTGAAGCTCTCTGCCAAGTTACAATATGTGGCATGCTGCCAAATTACATGGCATACTTCGTCATTAGTCTTTACTCAGTCTCATCAGATTTAGTCAGGGTCATTGTATTTTCAGGAAAAGAGAGCCACATTGTGAAACATTTCAAGCCCTGTTTCTGCAGAAGATGGTCAACATATGCAATATGTAGTTCTCATTGTTTTATGATTTGGCTTCTGTCCACATCTAACCTTTTCCCACAATTGTGTTAGCAGTTATCAGTGCTGATACAGAAACCTGAGAGACACACCGAGCCCTGCGCTGCACCCACAGTCAGCAGGAGGATGACAGAGGAGCCAAGACTGCACGAGGCGAAGCACACTGAGGGGAGAGACTCTGACCAGATGAGAGGTCTGCGGATAGCGGAGTGAGGGAGTGGCAGGACAGGAAGGAAGGCTGGTGGGGAAGGGGGGGTGTAGAGGATGAAGATGAGGAGTGGTTCTGGGAGCGGAGCATGGCAGTAACAGGAATCAGGTTTCCCAGCAGTATGACTGGAGAGCGGGGAGGAGAGAGGCTGGGCCTGGTTTCCCTTTAGACACTCCCAGTGTTTTAAGGCTCTGAGCTCAGCCAGCAGTCTCTGGACTCTCCTCAGAGTGCAGGACCAGCGTGTCTCCTGACGACTACCCACCTCTGGAAGTACGATATCCCTGGCACGATCTGTTCTTTGGGTAAGTTTCACCCTTTTTTCACTATCAAGCTGATTTGCAGTCCGCCTGAGTCATCCTTACTTTCCTTAGTTGCATGGAGACTTTGCAGAAGTGATGCTCTTATGTCTCATATTTCTGCCTCTGGTTCTAATTTACTGCACACAATCCTCCCTCCCCCGCTGCAGTTTAGAGTTATATGTGGGTTTTATTGGATTGGCACTGCCTGTACATTTGCGTGTTGGATTCTTCACATAATTGTGTGTTGGAAAAAGGCAGTCCTGAGTAAATATTAGGGCACGAATCCAACCACACTGGCGGCATGGAACATTCCTGCATAAAACTAATTAAAACTATGAACTAGAAGCATGCACACAAGATGAAAGTTAGAAACTGTTGGGTTTCCTGACAGAGTTGTTTATTCTCAATTGCCATACTGTCAGCTATGCCCCTGAGTCATGTTTCTGTGTCTGTGTTAGTGGTCAGCAAACTCCCTGACAGAGTTGCTGTGTGTGACTCATGGCTCCTAAAATAAAACACCATAATGTGACCTAATTGCAGCTTAAAAGTCTGGCATCTAAAAGAGGGTGTGCTAGCCCTTGAAGAGTAAAAGCTGAAAAAGTTGGATGGAAAATAAAAATGTCTTTGACGTGGCTCAAAACATAAAAGCACTCATTAGTTCGTGGAGCAAATAGCTGTGGAAAACAAGCATGGCTTTCATGGTCAGTCTGTTTTCTTGGTAGGAATGTGATATTGAATTGTGAAGCAACTGCAGATGCCGTCCTTGCATCACGTCAGTCATGCCGTGGTGAGAACTCTCATAAACTTGATGAGGAGCTGGGGCGAGGGTGGGGGGTGGCGCGAGGGGGAGCAAAACAAGGAGAACACATGATTTGATCTTGTTGTTTCAGAGGACAATGAAAGGAAACGATAGCTGTCACAAAGGAATACAGCTATGCAGACGTTAGAAAACCTTTCCCCTCCGGAAACGTTTGATCCACATTTATCAGCGAACAGCAGCGATAGCAGGAGGCTATCAGCTTTTTACTGACACGCAGCAGGTCTGCAGCGCATTTGTCTGAATATGTGTCAGTTTCTCTGCCTATATTGGGACGCTGAGACACCCTGATGATCACTAAAGGTCTAAGGGCAGAAATTATCTTATGGTATGCAGATTTAAATACCTTTAGACAACTATAAGATTTTGCTCTATTTGGGCTAACCATAACCTGACCTGAGAGTTGTATCAACAGTTGAATAAATGCTAAAATGCAGATTTTTGGAAGGCCTACATGTTTACTGAGTTCATCTAATCTGTTCTTCATCTTTAAATCTTTGTTTTTTCTCAATGCAATTAGTTTAAACAAAGCAATCTAAAATAAAGTACAGGGTACACACAATGCTGCTCAGCCTAAATTCAATACCAGATAATTGACATTTCTTCACCTCACAGATATCAGATGTCAGAAAACGTCACCACAGCATCTTTTAGCCCCTATTTTGCAAGGTTTTCCTGGCTCTGAATGGGGTCTTTGAGGATGACTAGGCACCACAGTATTCCTCTATGTAGGATAAACTCTGCATTACAGTGGTATAGCAGACAGGTTTCCTTCTATATAGTGCATTAAAGTTATGTACCATACACATTAACAAGTCCAAACGAATTTGTTTTGTGATTAATAAATGACAATCAGAAAGTCCAGGGGTCATATCCAGCAGAGTCAGATAGTCGTCCTCACACAAAAAGTCAGGATGTTATCAGGCTTTTTCTGATGTGCATTCGGCCTCTGGGAAGGTCTTTGAGTAAAGACACTGGGTCCTTTCCCATTTTAACCAAAAATATCCCCCCAACGCCTCAAGACTGGGGCAAGTCCAAAAAGCACTGGATGAGCATTCACAACACTTTGGAGAAACCTGTTTCAAATTTTGAGAGAGTCAGATGAGCTTTATGCACAAATCTAGTGCGTAACCATGCTAATATTTGCTTTCAGCGTCCTCAGGTTTGCGTCATTTAGTCCACGAAGCAAAGGACTGGTCGAAACTGAGATTACTTAAAACATGCTGACTTCATCTTGTGCATAAAATAAACAGTCAGAGGTCAACCAAAGTCAGTAGGGTGTAGGGTGCGTCCTTAGGGCACTAAGAACGTTTGTGTTTGATTTAGTGCCAATCTATTTACTAGTTGGACCAAAAGTGCATCCAAACTGCTAGTGTTGCGAGAAAACACATAGCTTGAACTGTTCATAGTAAAGTATGAAGACTTGCTTTTTCAGTGGTGTGTTTTTGCACTTTTTACATTCATAGCAATCAAAATACTTCTGCTTTCTATCGGGCCACATACAGTCACGTACAGTCTGCTGAGCATGTGTGATTTCTCTTAGTCAGCACACAGGCTGCACTCGCCTCTCCTCTTCCAGCTAATGAAAGAGTAAAGATTAATGCCGTCACCGAATCGAGATTTACGCGCTGGCTCGTGTTTCTCAACATACTGATGCAGTTAAATCAAGTCTGCTCTATAGGTACAGGCTGACAGGGCTGCTGGATTCAATATTTTGCTCAGGTACACTTGAGCTGAGCAGATTCCTGCCAACACAAAGCTTTGAACCCAAATCCTAACAGCTAAAACTAACAATAAGTATTCTCCTCTCATCATCATCATCCTGCTGCCCAGCTGTTTACACCACAACACAGCAGAGTGGTTGTGGTTATTTTATGGGCTGCCTGGACGTTTCACATTCCTGGATCAGCAGGGAAATCTCTCAAGATTCCCTTCACGATATCCTGAACCAACTGCTCCGACAAACCAGCTCAGGGTTGAATAAGAAAGAGCCGGACTGACTTTGTATATCTTTATGAATCAGACCCACAGCAAGCTCTCTGAGTACAAGTGAAGATAAACATTATCCTGTTATGATTAATACTTAGTTTATGAAGTTGTTGGGTTAGCATAGAACTTTTGCAAAATGTATTTAGTTTGGATTCAGGGAGAAGTATTTGGAACAACGAATTCACTGACATCTGCTTCTTTTTAGCAGCATATTTCCACTGGCATGTGTCAAGGATAGAAATGGATCCTGAAGGTTCACGTGAGTAAATGTTATTCACTCCGACTGCGGATGTGTAAATTATGATTTTACAATTGACAGAAAGTTGAGAATCATGTTACATTGAAAAGCTCTAACTGAATTTGTCGAAGGAGAAATAATCCAATAGTGTCGTGTCTATGGTATGATTTGTTTGTGACCTTTGTGCAGGCATCCAAGATGATCCAGATGTGAAGGTGATGATGGCAGGGTCTACTCTGAGGAAAGTCAAGTCTCGATCCTGGAAGAAACAACGGCATTTCCGCCTTCTGGAGGACGGCCTGACAATCTGGTACAAGTCCAGATGGGCCGGCAGAGGTCACTCCACCTGTGAGTGTAGAAGCATGTATATATCTCTGCTTAGATGAATGTACAAACATAGTAGCCCTTTGTTTATTCGTATGATCTGCCCTGGTAATGTCTGAATAAACAAAGCCATATTGCACAGATCAGCCACAATCTTAAAACTAGCTGCTTAAGATTGTATATGCTGCAGCAGAGACTTTGGGCCCTGTGGGTTGTGGGATGAAGCCCTCATGAAGGTGCATCCTGTGGATGCTCAATCACGTTGGGATCTACAAGGGTTGGAGGCTAGGTCGATGTCTGGAGCTCTTTGCTGGGTTCATCAAGTGATTCCTGAGCAGTTTTTGTGATGTGGCAGATTGTGATGTCCTGCTAGGGGAGGTCACTGCTGTTAGGAAGCACTGGTACCATTGAGGAGGGTGTTTGGTCTGCAAAAAAAAATCAATGTTTAGTTGGGTGGTACGTGTCAAAGTAACATCCATATGAATTCCCATTCCCAGCAGAACATTGCATTCTAACAAATCAGTGTTGTTTACTTAATCTTTCAGTGGTTTTGATGTTGTGGCTAATCTGTGCATACTGTATCTCAGGGTGGTGTTCCTTGGGGTCAGTTTACCAGCTTGTGAATTTAGGGTTATTGTAGTAGTCTAATGGTTAAGATCCATAACATGTTCCCCCAACGTCTCTAGTCAAGGCTGTTGAATCTCCCTCTCTCCTAGTCACTTCCTGTCTAATCTTCTACTGTAATCTATTCAATAAAGGCAAAATGCAAAAATAAATAAATAAATCCTTGAACGAAGCAAACTTGAACACAACAACATTTCCTCTCTGGCAAAACAAAAACCCTCTTTCCTTTACCATATTAACAAGATGTTTACAGCTATCTAATGGCTGGGAGTCTGGTCATCTACCTCTTAACAAGAAAGCAAATAAGTGTGATGAGTTGAACAGTTGCTTTGAGAAGCTTATCACAGTACAATGGAGTCCCTTATAAATTTACTACCAAGTCTAAAATTACCAACTGGGCAAAACAGGCTGCTGCCTCGTGACCTCAGCCATTAAAGAAACCCAAAATTCCCAAGGTTCACTTCATAAGCAGTGATTATGGTAACAAATCTTTCCCACTGGTCTCCCTAGAAATTCAAACATCCATTGTGCAGCATAAAAGCGATGTGCCTTGCAGGTCCACATACACAGTGGTTTCCAGCCCAGCCTTATCCTAAGTGCTTCAGCAGAAAGCAAATGGACTTTTAGTTTGGTCCTTGAAAATGTTTCACCTCTCATCCAAGAGGCTTCCTCAGTTATGACTGACCGACGTGGAGTGCTTGTTATTTATTCTCATACTCAAATCGCATGGCTCCCAGTTAACGACCCAAAACTTGCATGACTCATGGTGGTTGTGAAGCTGTCTGGAAAGGGAAGACTCCACAAGTGCATGGCCTAACACAAAGGAGCAAACTCCTCAGCAGTCCACCTGCATATAAAGCACAAAGAAAAACCTCCTTTAAGGACAGTGATGCTCACATTTTGGACAGAGATGATTTGAGGAAGAAATTAAAGTGGAGCAGCCACCTCTAAATAGAGGAAGAGGTCAATAACATCACGTATCGGGTACTTATAATGCAGTCCTGAGTTTCCTCCCAAGCAGTTTCACTACCATTAACACTTGAGTCATGTGACTCCTGGGTCATTGTCAGGCCATGTGATTTGGGAGTGAAAATGAAAACCTCAAGAACGGTCTTTAAGAGCCAAAAAGTCCAGTCTAATTTATTTTTCTCAAAGCACCAGGATTACAATGACATGGGTGACTGAGATTCTATACAGACAGCCCAACCCTTATCATCTCACAACACAAGGAAGACATTTCTAATGGCTACCATGACAAATTAATGCATTACAGATGAGTACATATACAAATTACTGTAACTGTGACTGTAATAGAAATATATTTTATAGGTGTTATTCAAGATTTGCAAAAATTGTGACGGGATTTATAATTTTAAAAAAACAAAAAAAACAAAACAAGAAACAAAAGCACACTAAGATAACAAATGTAAAGTGATGAAACCTCTGACTGTGGTAAATCTTTCTCTGGTTTAGAGAGGACACCACAAAGTGCCAGGAATTGGGCTTACTTTTGCAAAACTTTCCACTACAAACCTTCAAACTACCTGCACATCAATGCATTAAAGTAGTATAAATCTCCTAACACTGAACCATTTCTTTATCGTGACCATTCTGATCATATCTCAGTCTCAGTGACGGAGTTGGAGGTTGTGCGCGAGGGCCATCAGTCGGAGGTCCTGCTGAGCATCGCTGAGGAGTTCCCTGCTGACCTCTGCTTTACCTTGGTGTTTCACGGTCGCCAAGGCAACCTGGACCTCGTGGCCGACACCCCAGAGGAGGCCCAGGCCTGGATTCGGGGAGTGCGCAAGCTGATCCATAAAGCTCAGACAATGGGTGAGAAGGAGAGGCTGGACCAGTATCCTTTGACCACAGCCGCTCACAGAGTTAGGAATTTTATGAAAAACAGCAGTGTTTATTCTGGTGTTGGGTAACATCAGATACAGGCTCACCCCTTTTCTTCTCTAAACAAAGCTCCAAGTAGTCTGTCTGAAAATGAAAACCATTCTTTCCTTTTACATTAGTGGGAGTATTAGCATTGTTCTAAATGGGAAAATAGCTTTCTTTAGGTCTGAGTTTTTATTCCACAATATGTCTTTGCTGGAGTTTTCCTCAGCGTGCTCTCAGGTGGGTCTGGGACTGGTTTCAGAAAGCTGACAAGAACAAAGACGGGAAGATGACCTTTAAAGAAGTGAAGAAGCTGCTGAAGATGATGAACGTAGACATGAATGAAGAGCATGCTCTCCATCTCTTCACGGTAGGGTTTTGATTTAATTACTCAGTTTGATTACTTTTTCCAGCCTTTTTCTAACTTCACAGCATATTCTGAGACCAAAATATGACAAATAAAAGATGAAATATGTTTTTGAATTGATGCTTTATTTAAACAAATGCAAAAAGTGTAAGACCCTTCCATTATTTCTGCAGATGGCTGACAAGTCAGAAAGTGGCTCTTTGGAAATCGAGCAGTTTGTCTGCTTCTATAAGATGCTGACTCAGAGGGATGAAGTGTGGAAGGTGTTCCAGGACTACTCCGGAGATGGAGAGAAGCTGATGTTGGAAGAGCTGGAGAGCTTCCTGAGGATGGAACAACATGAGGGAGAGCAGAGCGCCCGCCACGCCAAGGAGCTCATCGACCGCTATGAACCTTCTGAGACGGGTAACCATGGTGACGGCGAAGCAATCTCATATCTCAGTCATGCACACATTTTGAGGACAGACAGAATCTCAAGAGGCGTTGTTCAGTTGCACAACTGCCATAAAAAGCAGCCACACGTGATTTATGTGATTATCTTCACACTGAAACTTGTGCAGTTGTGCTCAGAGTTCTTTATAAACAAGTGAAACTCTTCCTGATATATTAGCTTTTGCACTTTTTTTTTCGCACTTTTACACTAACAAAGAAAATAGTCTGCAGCTGCTATAGCTTTGGCACAGCTATTGTTTCAGATTAATGTAAACAGAAATATACTCATAGTGACAATGCGATCATGCTGATGTTTAGTAGGTCATTTTTACAGTCATATTTTAGTGTGTTATTGTGCTGAAATGTGCTAATGAACTAAAGAAAACATATAATTCAACCTGATCAGAATAAAATTTGTTAATTTGCTAAGATTATCAAAGTCTTTGGACTCTGTCCTCAAGGGACTTTAGGTATCTGTACAAAAGTCAGTTGTAATCCATCTGATGATTGTTAAGATGTTGCATTTAAAACCAGTGATCAACCCGCTGTGGTGGAAGAGAAAAGTTTAGAGGATCACCAAACTCAGTGGGCTGCATCCTCTGGGAACCATGACTGTACAGACTAGTGCTGCACGAAATTGAATATTTGTTCCTTCGTATTTTTGACTGTCAGCACTAGAATGCAACATACACATAACTACAGTAGAAATATTAATCCAAAAGCATCGTAGTGGGCATTTTAGAATAGAATAGAAATACTTTATTTATCCCAGACCTGGGAAATTACCTTGTTACAGCAACACAAAGAAAAATGCCAAATCACAACAAGTTAGAAAATATAGTAAATTAAGTCTATAAAAATAGAATAATAGAAAAACTTCCTACAGAGCAAGTACTTTTTATTTTTGATACTTTAAATACATTTTGCTAATAATACTTACATACCTTTAATTAACTGTTACAATGCGGGACTTTTACTTGCAGTGGATATTTTCACAGTGTGTTATTGGTACTTTTTCTTAAGTCAAGGATCATTAATCTTCTTTCACCATTTTGCACAAGAAAAATCGTATAATTATATAAGAGAGTTGTACCACGTGTAAGTGCAGACAATACAGATACTTTAGCAGTGATTGCAAATAAAGTCAGTGTCACATTTATTCTCATTCATCTTCACTGTTAAAAAGAAAAAAAAGAGAAAAGAAATTCTGCTGTAGCATCATATTAACTGCTCAAATGATAATAATAAAAAGTACTATATTCTTCCCAGGTTATTATTTCTAGTCCCTTTTTATTCATATACTTTTTTATTTTAGTAGGAGTAATAGCAATGCCTTTAGCAGCCTGATAAATACCGCCTCTGTATCGTAACCTCCATCTGCATCACTCCCTGTGCAGCCATGAAGCAAGGCGCCATGTCCTTAGATGGCTTCCAGATGTACCTGTGCTCACAGGAGGGCTCCATATTTAATCCAGAGCATCGGAATCTTCACCAGGACATGAGCCAGCCGCTCAGCCACTACTTCATCTCCTCCTCGCACAACACCTACCTCCTGGAGGACCAGCTGCGAGGGCAGAGCAGCTTGGAGGCGTACATCCAGTGAGGGCTGCCTGGACACCACACACAGGGCAAACACAGGAGGAAGACAATTAAATGACAGCCAGAGGGATTAAACGACACCACTAAAGCAGGGGTGTCAATCTCAAAAACACAGTGGGCCAAAATTTAAAACCTGAACAAAGTTGTGGGCCAACATTGAACAAATGATCCTTTCAATATGGACCGAAACAAATTTTGCTTTAACATTGAATATGGAACAAGCAACGCTTATTCCCATACATTATATATAACTTAATAGTGGAGACATGCAAAATCAAATTATAAATAAAAAAACACATCAATGGCACAGTGACAGTTGTAGTGTGAAGTCGCTATGCCTACTGTCACAGAGGAGAGGGAGTTTCTGGGTCCTGTCCTGATTGACGCGCCAAAACAACAACAGGGCATTCTGGGATTTGTAGTATTATCGGTGAATGCGTTGTACAGTATAATACCGGGGGCAGCTCTAGTAGTCATTTGGTATTGTCTCGCGGGCCAAATATAATTACAAAGCGGGCCAAATTTGGCCTGCGGGCCAGAGTTTGACACCCCTGCACTAAAGGATGTCAAAAATCAATATAGTGAGAGATGAAAAGTTACTAAACTAAAAAGAAAATCTATTTGACTTTTTATAGAGCTACACAAGAGGGTTTTAATGTATTTCCCAACATACACTTAAGTCTTATGTGACATAGCTTTTTCTGAACATTCATCGATGGATGTGTAACACTGAAGCGTTCGTTTATGTGTTAAATTAAACATATATGTGTTTGTCTGTGTGTAGGGCCCTGAAGAGAGGCTGCCGCTGTGTAGAGGTGGACTGCTGGGATGGCAGCGATGGGGAGCCTGTTGTATATCACGGCCACACTCTGACTTCAAAAATCCTTTTCAAAGATGTTGTTTCAACGGTCAAAGACTACGCCTTCAAGGTGGGCAGCACGCGAAGCTCTGTGTGTTATAAACATCTGGCTCACCCTAATACATAGATTTTATCTTTCCCCTCTGCTGGTATGCAGCCATGCAGTCCAGTTAAGTCTCGCCAGAACCAATTTTCCAGTCTTTTTAAGTAATCTGTACACATCACTGTTTGCTCTGAAACAGAAGAAATAGTCTGCTGTTTATCCAGAACAATGGGCACAGTGTTAATGGGAATAAACCACAGAACAGTAATGAAATTCCATTAACCTCTAATGTGTTGGAGTAGCCACCATATTCACTGACACAGATACCGAAAACCTAGACAAAAAACAACAACAACAAAAAAAAACAGTGACGCATGGCTCCTCACCACTGACAGTAACTGCAAAAATGTGTTTTTGGGACAGAACAAACAAACCCTTGAGCACAGACATAATTTACAAGCCTGGTGCTGTGCGTGTGCCCAGAGAAGAGTAAAGCCCAGATGGAGTAGTTGGTAACCTTCCCTGCCTCTGGAATCACATGTACCCCTGTTGACTGACCCAGATGGAAAGCAACCAGGAACTTCTCCACTTCTCTGTTTTATCCCACTCAAACTTTCCAAGTCAGCTTTGGGAAGATCTGATGAAGAAACTGTTGTGGAGGATTCTGGAAACTTGTAGTTAATGGAAAATGCTTGTAATGACTTTTACAGTTGATTTTGCAAGCATTTTTAATACTTATAAAAACCAAAAACACACGGCCCCTTGCTCTTTTGAAGATCATTGTGTCTCATCTGTTTGCTAGGCGTCGGACTTCCCCGTCATCCTGTCTCTGGAGAACCACTGTGGCGTGGAGCAGCAGACCGTCATGGCTCGACACCTCAGCCAAATCCTGGGCGACACGCTGCTGACCACCCTGCTGGATGGACAGGTCCCTCAACAGCTCCCTTCTCCACAGGTTGGAATCTGTCTGAGTTCAGTTATTTTCAGCCATATGTGCAGGGGGAAGCACCCTGGGACTCATGAAGTATCACAAGATGCTTTGTCTTGACAGTCAATCAACCCTGAAAGTCATTTGTCATTTTTCATTACCATTCAAAAACAAAGCAACATGGAGAGCTTATGATATAATGGGCCTATGGACAAGGAAGTGGCCAGATATCCTCCTTTTCACAGAGAAGACCCCCAGCCTGACAAAGATCTTTAGCAGTTTCTATCAGTTTTGTATATCTTTATCTCTAGGCCTGTGTAATAATCCCTCCACAACAAAGAGTCAGTTTATTGTAAATACCCTAACATAGACATGTTAATGTAGCTCATCTGGGTCTTTTTTCTTCTTGAGATTGTTTTTTGGTGAATAATTATTTAGTCTGTGTGTCTTGTTTGACTTCATTCAGTCTGTTGCGTCCCTTCCTTTACCTTCATCAACGAAAATCTCTCTCAGATCATTGATTCAACCAAAAACTCGTCTCCGTGCCTCAAAGTTACATATTTCTTCCTGAGCATAATCCTTTTTTGCCAAAAAAAGTGGCTTAGTTGTAACTTTATGCTGCTGTTTCCTCTATAATGTGCAGATCTATGACATCCCTGCCTTTCTCTTCATTCACGACTCCTGAATTGCTGCAGCTTGAGCACACCAGCTCACCTACAACTTTGCTCAAACACAGTAAAACTACTCTACACTCCATGGCCAGTTATGGTATTGCTAATGTAGCGAATGTTAACATGCTAACACACTAAATTGATGGTAAACACTTAGCACTTAACTCAAAGGCCAGCCGAACCACTGGCAGCGCTGCCGTGTTTCATCTCAGGAAGGTGGCTCTCTGTTTGCATTTTGCAGTTGTAAAATCTGACGATGTTCAGGTATCACTCATACTGTTAAATAGTTCTGTTACATTCAGTGATGAAGAAAAGGACAATTTAAATCAAAACTCTGATTTATCCAAGAGAAACTTTGGACAGAGACATTTGAAAGACTGATGGTCAGACTGTGTCTTGTTATCCATCACGCATTGATCATAAAAGCACTAGTATAAGTTCCAAACTCTTCTCCATTAGAGCACTTAGGACAATCAATGCTAACTTGAAGTAATGGCATATAAATGCTTTGAGGAGTTCCACTGAGGATCCAACCAATTAAATAGAGTTACAATGCTGCATTTAGTTAGGAGACAACACAATGTGGGAAGATGGAACATCTTCACCAGCAGTCTGGGTGCTGAAGACATCTTAGTTTTCTGTTTGTTTTGCTCTTCCAACCCACATTCCAAAACTCTGTGATTTCTGCTGACAATTGGGAACAGTTTGGATTTCTCTATGTGATTGTATCAAATTAAACTGATCAGACTTCCTCATCTCACTTTCAAATGAACAGCAAAAGGCTACAGATAAAACAAACCAGTGGGCACCACATGTAGACTCTCACCATTCCATTGGTTCTCATTACAGGAACTGAAGGGAAAGATTTTGCTGAAAGCCAAGAAGATTGGTGGTCTTGAAAAGTGTCTCGATGAAACCCTGACAGATGAAGTAAGCGATGACGAGGAGATGGCCAACGGTGATGGCGACAGCCCCTGCACAGAAGATCCACCTGCTGAGAACAAGAAGGACAAGGTACATGTACTTGGTGACGTGTCAGTTTCTTGATCTTACCCTGTTTTTTTTACAGGAGAGATTTTGTTTCTTGCAGCATTGTTAGAGTTGTTCAGTTTATCTCAGAGAGGGGGTGAAGAAAGACAGAAAGCAGAGATGCTGAATGATATCTGGACAGGAGAGACAGAGAGGCGACACTGGACTTAAAGACGGGAAATAGTGGAAAGAAACAGGACACTGATATTTAAAAGATACACAACAAAGAAAGTGAAGTGAGAAACAGCATCCAATGTTTTTCTCAGCCAAGTATGAACATATGTAGTTATACACTTTGTATTTACTGGAGAAGTTAACCAGGGACACATTTTCTTCAAAGTGCTTCTTAGGGAGTGTTAATTTTCAATGAACTGTCCTGTGCAGCATTTCCCTGCAGCGCAGTGAGAGATCACCTGGAAGCATTTGTTGCCTTGAATAATCTGATTAGAGTTGATGAGACACAGAGAGAGAAATCAAGGGAATTCTAAACATTGTGCTACAAATTCTTAGCTGTGGCCTGTAATTAGATACTAAAGACAATAAAGAAGCCACGTCTTTGTTGAGGCGATGCACTCCATCCTTAACCTTTTATTGTAATGATGAAATCATGTAAATTATAGAGTGGTAATAGAACAATATTTTCCTGTTAATTTGTACAATACCATCTTTGCATTGCAGGCAAATTTAGTGGTAAAAAATAAGAAATAAAGACATAATTATCTGGTAGTTTGTTCATGGCTAGAAAAATAACTGCAACCAATTAGTGCAAAAAGTTAGTGCAGACTATTTTTTGTCAAACGAGGTACAAATAAAGTTGATTGAGTCTGAACAAATGCAATAAAGTTATAATTACCTGAATTACTGAACTTATATAAAACTGCTAATATACTGTATTGACATCATATAAATCAAGGTTGACTTTTTAAATGTGATTTTTAAAAGATGACAATTTTAAAAAAGCATTTTAAAAAGATGATACACAAATTAAGCACACAACATTTGTCATAGCATATGAGAAAGGTTAAGATCAAATCAACAAATGAATGAATGAATGAATAGGTTAAAAAATAGGACTGTCCCCAGTACAATATATAAATGCAATGAGCATCTAAGCCTATAGTGGGCAGTCAGTAGTTTGTGCTGTTTATTTTTTTAGAACAATTTCAGATTTTTTTCACACTTGGTTGTAGTTGTGTTGTTTCGTGCAGTTATTATATTATTATTGTTATTATTATATTGTTATTATCATTATTATTAGTAGTAGTAGTAGTCGTAGTAGTAGCAGCTTTGAGGATTAGGATTAGGATTTATTTGTTAACTAGTGCTGTGTTTTATTTTCCCCCTTTGACAGAAATCCAAACTGTCCCGGGAGCTGTCAGACCTGGTGGTTTACTGCAAAAGCGTGCATTTTCATGGCTTTGAGCACGCTCGGTCTCACGCCAAATGCTACGAGATGTCTTCATTCTCTGAATCCAAGGCCAAGAAGCTCGCTAAGGAAGCAGGTAAGTGAACTGGCGCTAATGACTGTGATGTTCATGCATGTGCAATACAGTGTATGTGACTATATCATTACAATAATTATAGCTGCATTTGAGCTACAGGTGAAGGGGCAGGTAGATTTCTCTGCGTTCATGCTGTAGAAAGTACATTACACTCTTCAAATCTTTCTCCAGGGACAGACTTTGTTCAGTACAACGCACGGCAGCTGAGCAGGATCTACCCCAGCGGCCTCAGGACCGACTCCTCCAACTACAACCCGCAGGAGATGTGGACCGTGGGCTGTCAGATCGGTGAGCAGGACGTTGCCCTCTGCTGGTTAAACAAAACGCTTCATCTAAAATCACAGATGTCTCGTTTGGTTTCAAATGTTGATTGGTATTTCTCATGACATTATAAAACATTTTGTTTCAGTTTACTAAAATATAGTGAAAAATCAGAAAATGTTCAAATTTAAGAAGCTGAAAAATGACTCAAAGCAATATTTATTTATTTTTTATTTTTCAATCAAAATAGGTAGTTATTTTAATAGTGAACAACAAGTACAAAAGTGTGTTAAATCTTGCAGCTCTGCCTCATAAATGCCAAATACAGCAATTTGAGTCTGGAAATTACACCAAAGGTTTCTCACACAACCACATTAAAATGCATGTACATCTACTGTCGCCTTTATGACTGTATATTAAGGAATAATTGCCTTAGTGCAGATCCTCACTGCTGCTCCCACCTCCGTCTGCAGTGCCTCCCCCATGTAGCTGATAGAGTTCGACAGGACAGACGCATCCTGTCACATGGCCTCACATTGGTGACATCTGCTCTGGATTAAAGTCTTCTGCGATTTAATATTGATAGATAAATAGATTCTAAGTCTGGGAAGTAACGTGATGCAGTCAGGCGCAGTAAATTTCATTATTTCTCCTCCATCTCTTTCCGAAAAGTGGCTCTGAACTTCCAGACAGCCGGTCTGGAAATGGATCTGAACGACGGGCTGTTCAGGCAGAACGGCTGCTGCGGTTTCGTCCTCAAGCCAGACTTCATGAGAGACGCCAGCTCTCAGTTCAGCTCAGAGAAGCCTGAGGGGCGGCAAGGCTACAAACCGCTTCGCTTATCCATACAGGTAGGAAACTACATGACAGTCAAGATGGTTGGGGATTGTAGTGGCTGCTACAGAAAACTAGTTCTTTATTTAACATGAAAGTATGTATGTGTGTGTCAGGTGATAAGTGGGCAACAGCTGCCAAAGGTGAACCAGAAAGAGGGCTCTATTGTGGACCCACTGGTCAGAGTGGAGATCTATGGTGTTCCACAGGACCAGGCCAAAGAAGAGACCAGTCACATTAACAACAATGGTGAGAGAATATTCAGTATTTCACTTGCAGAGATGCTCAGAAGATATGATTAGTGGGAAAAAGTGGTGTGAGTTAGGATGTAAAAAGTCACAGCCCAGTTGGTTATTTCCGGTCCTCTGCTGCCCTCTACCTGCAGGTTTTAACCCAGTGTGGAATGAAACTCTAAATTTTGTCATCCACACTCCCGAGCTGGCGCTGGTTCGCTTTCAGGTGGAGGACTACGACAAGGCGTCCAGGAACGACTTCATCGGACAGTTCACTCTTCCCTTTACATGCATCCAAGCAGGTAAGCGGAGCGATGGCGGAAAGCACCTTCACAGTAGTTTTACACTGAGGTACAACCTTCAGGTGTTTGTACTTAACTTGGGAATTTCCATTTTAAGCTACTTTATTACTACTACTTTATATTTACTTTCTACTCCACTGCATTTATCTCACAGCTTTAGTCACTTTCAAGAAGAAGATTCAAACACTACACATAGATTAAAGCAAAGATTTCAAACTTTTTTGGCATCTTACAAAAACAGAGTGTAGTTAGGCTCAAATTACAAATGTTAAGAAACATCTGTAATTTGAGCCTAACTACAGTTTTTCTCCCCCCTCTAAACTTCTCACATGGTCGTGTATATACATGTTTAAATGAGCCAATATCTGACAGAGAAGTAGAAGAGAAGAACTAAAAACAGATTGGTAAATCAGACCTTATTTTTTCTTCTTTCTTCTCCCATTTATCATGAAATGAGCCTTCAGATGAATCTGCTGTCCCCATATATGAGATGGATATAAAGAAAATTAAACCTTCAGTAAAATGGTGTCGACACACTGATGCTCATCTATCAATTATGAAATGATGTCACATATAATGATATTTCAGTCAGATGGACCAAACTAGAACCTTTTACTTTTTGCTGCTAATACTTATTTAAGCATTAGCAGCTTAAGACTTTGTTTTTGTAATCAAGTGTTTCTACATTGCTTTATTAGTACTTATACTTAAGTAAAAGATCTGACTACTTCTTCTACAAGTGGAGCAGAGCATACAGAACACCACTGTCACATCCTACTGCTACCTAGATGAAGTGTTACATCTAACGCCGGATGCCTGCATAATCAGCACAACCATGTTTTAAACCAATTCAAACCCAAATCTTGTTCTTCTTTTCAGGTTACCGTCACATACATCTGCTCTCAAAAGATGGAATGCTTATTCCTCCTGCTTCGCTCTTTGTTCACATCAGCATTTCAGAGCTTACATGAGGAAGTTCAGCGTTAGCATGTGAAGCCAGAGGTGTTCCATCCAGTGTTTCCATACACCTGACAAGGGTGGGGCATCTGCCAGACTAAAGTAAGGTATCATTCTAGAAGTCAAGACAGCGAAACAGAAAGCAACAAGTCTGAAATCAGACTTCTGGATGATTTTCAGCATTAATCAAACACGAGTCCTCAATGCAAATTGATTTAATCAGCTATATAGAATCACTAAAGCTGCAGTAGGTAGAAATATTGAAAAGGAAGCAAACAAAAATCAAAATCTGAAAGTGTACATCCCTCTCCCTGAAGCTCTTTATTGTCCCCCAGAGACTGTACAAAGGTTACATAATGCTTCATAAAAGATTGAGGTAGCCTCCAGCTTGGAAAGGGAAACCAATGTGGAAGTGCCTTACACTGGCATTCTTTCTAACAGCCAGCAGGGGGCGACTCCTCTGTTTGCAAAAAGAAGTCTGACTATATAGAAATGACCCTACATCTCATTGGATTTATCACCTTACTAAACATTCCCCCAACAAGTTTACGCTCTTAATTGCTGGATTAAAGTCTCTTTAAAACTGCATTATGTGCAATTTGTAACTCATGGTCCCATTTAAAGTAAAGTGAAAGCAGGGTTTGTTGTACAGCAAGGCTACCTTGTGATGGACAGGTCACTACCGTGTTACTGTGTGCAAAACAACAGTCCACAAACCAATGTCATGGTGCTACGTCCCCTTTGTCTTTTATTTCCTCCCACCGTTAAAACATTTACTCCAACCGCAAAAAAGAAAGTGAAGCTAAAAGCAGCTTTCATTTGTGGTTTCACCCTGGATTCAAGCCCTACTTCCCTGAGTAAAAGTCCTCGGTGTAACCCATTGTACTACTATATCCTACTGCTGTTGTGGACTTGTTGCCATATATACTATCTCACCTGATCAGGTAAAAGAACTGTGATTGGCTAAAATCTTCTGTCAAGGGCTAGATTTTCCAAAGTCAGTCCATCCATCCGTCCATTTTCTGGTCGTCAGTCTATCACAGGGCCACATAGAGACAGACAACCAAACATACTCACATTCACACCTACGGACAATTTAGAATCACCAATTAACCTCAACATGTTTTTGGACTGTGTGGGAGGAAGCCGGAGAACCTGGAGAGAACCCACGCTGCACGGGGAGAACATACAAACTCCACGCAGAAAGATCCCAGGACAGGATTCAAACCTTCTAACTGTGACAGTGCTACCCACCTGTTCCAAAGTCTAATTGTTGAACTATAACATGCTGAAAGGTCAGTATGCAATTTTTGTCCAATGACAACAAAAAAAAGCTTTTTTGTTTTTAAAAGAAAAAGAAATCCTGCCTGCCCTAGTTTTAATGGGCCGTGACACACCAGGGTTGATTTCCTTCCAACAAGAAGTAAGACAACTAACTCCCTGAGTATAAAAGATGTTGAGGGTAAGATGCCTGTATTTATTTGTTTTTATGTCTATGTGCAATTTTACATTTCTGCCACTTTTTTATTATTATTTTTAAAGCTTTTAAATACTGTTAGTTTGAGAATGTGAGAGAACTTGAAGGACTGCTGCATGTCTACATATACGTATCAATGCTGAAAGTTTATGTTCCATAGTTTTAAAAATGTAAGGATGTGAAAAACCTGCCAAAATTCAGTATTATACATCTATGACTACAATGTACTCAGAGCTTCGCATCATGTTGGTTAATCTGCTGTTAAGCTGCCAAGTGCCTGCTAGACTGAGTAATTTCTATTTATGAATGTTTACATTTTACAAGGTTTTTGTTGTGTATGATGTAAAAGTATGTGTATATAAGCCTGTAAATAGATGCAATACATTTTCTGAACGAGCATAAACCACATTCACAAACATTTCTGGCTCATTCATTTATTCGCTGTGGACAATATAGTTCCTAATCACAGGCAAACATTAAGAGACATAAAAACGTGGTTTCTTTTTTACAGAAAGCACTTCAGTTCTATTTAATTCTCTCACTTCATTAGCCCTGATGTGTTGATAATTAGGCTTTTGCAGAACAATAAAATCAAGCAGTCAAGTATCAGTATCGACGGATATGTCAACACTGCATCTCTATTGCGTCTCTTCAGCGTTTTGTCCCACTGCCACCACCTCTTCAGCTACCTCCTCTACCTCACTGGCAGGAGGCAGCAGCTCTTTGGCTTCTGCAGCTCTCTCCTCCAGAGTCCCCTGCAAAGCCTCCTTCAGAGTGAGGCCCCCAGCCTGAGAGTCTCTCACCACACCCTGCTCTACTGACATCTCCGGATGGTGCCTCTGCAGGTGCTTCACCACCTGGAATTTCTGTTTGGCCCTGTAGGAGCAGTGTCGACAGCAGAAAGGCTGCTGCTTGGTGTGAGACAGGTAGTGATGTCTGAGGCCTGCCGGCCACCGGAAGGCCTTCTGGCACAAGCCACACGTGTACGGCCGGTCATCAGTGTGCTGCCGCTGGTGGGTCTTCAGTATGAAGCTTGTCTTGAAGGCTTTGCCGCATTTCTCGCAGACAAAAGGGCGCATGTCACAGTGCTGCGTGTCGCGGTGTGCACGGAGGGCGTCTGCTCTGTTGGTGCGGTAGTCGCAGTCATCACAGGCGTATGGCTTCTCTCCTGCACATGACATCAATCATTTGTCTTTTGTTTTTCTTGTTTTCTATCCCCTATCTATCAGATCATCGTAATCCTAGGAGCTTCAGTTAAAAGCAACCGGACTTCTCTTTATAGTTATGAAGACATTTCACCTCTTATCCAATAGGATTCTTCAGAACTGAACATGAGAAATCTAACTGACATATACTGAAGCGCTTAGGATCACTAAATCAATCATCAAATTCTTCATTTTGTTAAAACATGCCTCAGTACTATAATCAGGAACTTCGGTACCTGTGTGCTTGGTCATGTGGTACTTCAGCTGAGTCGCCCACTTGCATTTGTAGCCGCACTCTGGACAAAGGTACTTCTTCTCTTCTTGGTGAACCCTCATATGGAGCTATCAAAAAAAAAACATAGAAAATACAGTCACTGTCATAATGTCACATTTTGCTGCCCCACAATAATAAGTATATTATTATCTATAGTAGGTGCCGGAATTAAATGCATCCGCTTTCCTAGCTCTCTTTCCATCCATCTACGACTAATATTTACATCAAAATCAATACAACACACTTTGTTTCTCATCATGGCAGGATTGAGTTACTGTCTCATTTGTGGTTTTCAGTACAGATTAGATCTACAGGGAAATCAGTGAGATTGTGTGGTCATCTTACTAGCCACGGACAGGCTGGAGTCAAGGGTTGATGTTTTTCCTATAATTTGTCACCCCTCTGCCAAGTGCTTTCACTTGGTTTAGCACTTTAGTCCGATCTGCAGCTTCAGGGTGGGCTGTGTGCAATACAAAACTACAATGCACTAATTCGATATTCAGAGTTATTGTAGTTTGGTTTTCAGCTCCATGACAATGATGATGATGTATGTTTATATGGTATAACTTTTTCTTTTTTTTTTTCAACTTAAACAGATTTTTAAAAAAAAGTCATTTTAAGGTTTAAATAAAATTAAATAGTTCATGCATTTGCAGATTATTATGGCCTGTTCAACACAATATTGAACATGATAATGAGGTTAGGTCTGAATGTAAACCTTCCTACTGACTTGAAAAGCAGTTGTTACAGGGACCAAACACGACAGTAAATGGAATCTTGGGATTTATCTAAACCAACTAAAAATGTTCTGAGCTGCCAACTAAAACTACCCTCCAATAAAAAAAAGGTACCATGTCCATATTGTGTTTTGAATATGCTGGAGGACACGTCATGAGCAAAATTAGCAGTCAGCACCGTGGTCAAGGATTTCCTCCCTGAAACTTCAGTGTACTGATGACAGTCTCAAAAACACAGATTCAGTCTTCCAGGGTTTCAAACATAACATCAGGAACTAAATCTGTTAACTGACAAGGTGGGTTTTCTGTATCATTATTCTTCTTAAGAATCAGTTTACAGTTTAAACATGTACAGCTGATTTTTTCCAATAGTATTAGAGTTTGCCACTGTGTAGTTTAGAGTAATTTGACAGGGCTTGAGTAGTAGGTGAGCTGGTGTGCTCCAGGTGCAGACAGTCAGAAAGGGTGGGTGGAGAGAGCGACAGGAGCCACACATTCTAGTGGGAGCAACAGTATAGAGTTATATCTAAGCCATTTCAAGGCAGGACAGGAATATTTTCATGGAAAAAACCTTGAAGTATTAACTCTGAAACAGAGAGGTGAGTTTTTAAGGGTTAGACCAACAAGCGAAATGGGATTTAAAGTACAATCACATACAAAATGGACCAACTTGTATCACATTCCACCTGAAACAGACCCTTCAGGAAGACTCTGAGGTTTTGTCGTACAAATAAAAACCATCCTATGAACTCTGAGCGTACCTTCAACCTCGACGGATCAGTGCAGGTGTAACTGCACTGCTCACAACTGTAAGGCTTCTCTCCAGTGTGTATGCGAATGTGCCACGTGATCTTCTGCTTGTTCCGGGTTGAATACTGGCAGTCTGTGCATTTGTACAATCGTTTGCTTCCATGTGAGCGCAGGTGCTGCTCCAACACCAGCTGATGCCGACAAGCAAACTGACAAGTGCTGCACTTGAGAGGCTTGTCCTCTGGAGATCCCTCCTCATGTTCACTCAGAAGGTGTTGAGCCAATAGCTGTCTGGTTTTGGTAGCAAAGGGGCACAGCTGACACTGATGTGCCAGGTGGGTTCTCTGGTGAACCTCAAGGGTTTCCTTCGTCTCAAAGGACTCCTGGCACGTTGTGCACTTCACTTGGGAGTGCTTGTTCTGTTGGTGGGTCTTCAGAGCAACATCGCTGCTACATGTGTAGTCACACTGCTTGCACGAGAAACAGACCTGCAGCTGGTGCACACGTTTACAGTGGTTTCTTAAAGCAATCTCTGAACTAAAATGAGCATCACAATGAGTGCAGACGTGCTGCAACTCTCCTGTGTGGCATCGGAGTTTGTGTCGTCTTACATCGTCGAGTGTGTAGCCACTGAAGTCGCACAGCGAGCAGAAATGCGTGGGCTGTTTGTCATGGATGCGCATCTTATGCTGACGCAGTTTGGTCAAAGCCCCAAAGGTCTTGTCACACATGTCGCAGCTGTGACGACCGACTCCTGTGTGGAGAGATTCATGCTCTTCCAAGCGATAGCGTCTCGTGGTGCTAAAAGGACAGTAGCTGCAACGGTGAGGTCGAGTACCTTTGTGTTTAAGTGCAACGTGTTGCGCCATGCATCGTTCTTGTTTACAGGTGAAGGTACAGTGCTGGCAAAGCAAACGTTTACCTTTCACAACATTAAACTTTTCCTTGTTATGAACACACAGAACATGACGGGTCAAAGAAAGTTTAGTTTTGGCTACAAATGAACACTTGGTACACTGGACTTGATCTGGTTTCAGGCAGCCTTTCTTTTCATGGCTGTCTAATGCTCTCTTCTGATTGCACCTAAACGCACAGCTTGGACAACCAAAGATCTGACGTTTCTTAGAAGCTTCCACAGGATCT